GAATTGACGGTAGCTAAAAATGGACCTAGATTTTCGGACACCGATTTAGAAGATGACCAGGAATGTAAGTATTTCACTGGGTTCTTTTGTGGAAAGGCTCTGCCACCGGTTTGAAATGTATTGTGTGCCAAGAGGTGACAAAAGAACAGCTACTTGGTTCAACGAACCATTGCTACAAAGGATACTTATACAGTTTGAGCCAGACGACGTTTTCAGAATATTTTTACGATCCATTAAATGCGATATGCCCACTGATGCAAACGTTCGTTCGCTTTCCCCACAGAAATGGGATAAAGAAGCATTTTAGCATTTATGAGAAAGTATGACGATAGTGTCACAGCCGCAATTGACTGTTTTGAATTACATATAGAATCTCCCAATTCTAAAGCTATCATTGAACACAACCGTGTCATACCCAACGTTCAAGAAAACAAAATCATCAAATGGAACCGATGGATGCTATTGCTTCAAAGGAGTTGCCTTCATTGAGAATCCACGTTGAACGCTTGATTGGAGACTTGCACCAGAAATTCTTGATTCTGACTGAACCGATTCCGATTGCATTGATTGATTTATTAACCTATGTCCAAGTGTGATTTTTATAGTCAGTTATATGCTTAGTTCAAACATATGTATGTTTTTCATTTTCGTGTTTTTTAGAATTATAGAAGTTTTATAATATAGTAATACATTTTATTAAACAGTGACGTTGTGTATTGAATTATTCAGAAATGTTTAGTATCGCAAATAAAAGCTCACTTCAACTACAGTGACTTCCCGTTTTAAGCAACACATAGTTTTTGTATTCTTGACTTCCTATAAAATCCATTGAACGCTTAATTTAATATATGATTACACGAGACCATTCTTTGAGGATCTTCTCTACTTGATATATCATGAACAATATTCAAGAAAGTACAATATTTGAAGGAGATGAGGTCGTGTTGCCAAAAACATGCTAAGTTTTCTTTTGTGCTGTATAGCATTTTGACAGCAGTTCAGGAATGATGACATTTTTGTGGAACACGGTGGCTTTACCTTTGATATTAGGTTCTGCAGCGTGACGTCACAAATGAACTCAGTGTTAATAGGCTGAACCTTTTTGACAGTTCAGTGGTACTGTTTACAAGCACTTAGTCGTTTTTTCGAAAAAACAAATTAAAAGATTTCCGAATTTTTACTTGAAAATTGTCGAGGAACAGCGCGGTGAAAGGATGTTGCTCGTGGACAATGCAGAAGTGTGGTTTACATGTCACTGCAGTCTGAAAAATTATCGAGAAAATCTACCCAAGAAAAAAACGACTAAGTCCACGTAAACAGTACCACTGAACTGTCATCAGATTGAGGTTAACCCCGACGGTGCAAAACCTAATGGTCCCAATACTCGTTATTCTTTTTTACTTAAAAAATCATAGAATCTTTCGGAGCCTACACGTAGAAGTACCCAGAAGCAGCGTTTTCAACATGCGCCTGCATGAGTGCTAGAAGGAAATACTTATGGTGAGTAGTGAGGGTGACGTTTTCGTTATGGTTATGGTCGAATAAATGGATTTTTGAAACTCATAAGAACATTGATGATATCTTCATGCTGTCTGACTAAGCATGTAAATAAGAAGGGACTTTCAATACCAAACGAAAAGCTTAAATAGAGGTACCGTCTGGTGTTTTTCAGTGCTAGGTACTGAAATCTGAAATCTGTGATGGGGAAATCACTTTTTTCCATCCACAAAATCTCCATGTTTTCTTATGAAAAATGATGGATGTACGTTCACAAATCTAACAAATGCAATTATTTAGTATTTTGCTCAATCGGTAGATAAAAGATGTACCGATAATTGGTTGAAGGGATTTCAAGCTAAAATGTTCTGATTACGAATATCTCACGATTCCTCCAATCAGTTCTCGGTGCATCTTTTATCTACCGATTGAACGAAAAAAATGAATTGATCTAGAGCATTTTAACGGGAAATTCCTCTAATTGTTTCTCGGTACTTCTTTTATCTGCAAAAAAATATAGCAAAATATGGCGAGTTTCTGTGTCGGAAAAATAATGATTTCCCTTTCACAGATTTCAGAAATCAGTAACTAGCATTGCATAAAGGGAAAAGGTTATATTCAAGACACGACCATAGATTTGATGTAGGATTACGTGCTCGGTATCAATATTTGTTGCTGTTGTAACATGTTATAACGGTTTTCAAATAATTGCAACACAGAAACCACCATCAAGGTAGCGCTATAAAATGATATAACTCTCTAGTCTGAACAAGACATTATGAGCCAAGGAATAAGTGCCCCAAAAACACCGAACAGATTTAATGTAAAACCATTGTTTTATAAGTGTTTGCGCACAACTAATAGAGAAAATGTTTGCGCAATGTGCAAGTTGCTCCGTCCAGCTCTCGATATCATCGGTCATTACCAAAAACTTCCGATCCAGCAAAATGACCAGCGAAAGATCAACCGTCTTCTGCGCCTTTGTCACCGCCAACCAAGCCGGCAACCGTTTCCGCTTGGACATGCCCCCCCGGAAAATAATTCCATTTTTATTCGTTCCGTACAGAAACCGATCATTGTCAGTCAAACACGATATGTCTGTGACAAATGCTGTCAAATACAATTGATTTCGATATTATTGAAATAAACATGCCTTTGAATATATTCAAACATAAATATTTTAGTTTTAAACCTGTTTTAGTGTATAATTAGTGTATATATTTTACATGTTTGATTTAAATGAACAAAATTCGTATCCGCGAAGAAGCAACGAACAATTCAAGAACAACATGTGAAAAGGGCATACAAGCTTTTTGTAAACAAACATTCTTATGCCCTTTTCTAGCCACCCATATAACACCAACGCAAACCATCAACATCGCCGGATAGGGGAAGGTTTCCCCTTCCCGATGATGTTGTTAGTTTGCGTGGGCGACCCTCGGTTGGCGAGAAGAGGGCCTACAAAGGTTTGTTTACAAAAAGCTTGTATGCCCTTTTCACATGTGGCTCTTGAATTAGGCTGTCCACGAGACAGTTGCGATCAGCTGACTTTTTTGTTTACCAAGAACTTATGACAGTTCACAGTAGAACTAACAGTTTAGTCTCATATGAATTTCTGCTTTGTTTATGTTTACATTCAGCACCATTAACTCCAGATCACTCACACACTCTAGATTTCTAGCTGTCAGTTCCACTGTGAAACGTCTCTTGCATCACCTTATTGCACTTTCTTCAACTGAATCAGAATGCAGTGCACTTGCCGACTGCATATGTAAAGCTCTCTGAATCAGCAAATTGTTTCAAGAATTCAGGCATAACATTTGATAACGGCACAAAAGCATTTGTAAACAAACTTTCTACGGCCCTTTACACGTGAACCAAAGTACGCTCACGCAAACCAACAACATCATCGGATAGGGGCAACTATCACCTTTCCGAAAGTGGTATTGATTTGCGTGGGCGTACTTTGGTTTGCATGTAAAGTGCCTTAGAAAGTTTGTTTACAAATGGTTTTGTGCCGTTATCAAATGTTATGCCTGAATTGAAGGTTCGCGATAAGCCCCCTTCCGCATAAACAATAACCATGAGAAGAGCCAAATCACCAATTCAGGTTATCATCCCAACTTTAGGTGGTATGGTCGTACCACCTATGATATCGTTAGTGTACGGTACCCGTTTATTGAGGCTGTCATCATATTTGAAGACAAGCAGTCAGCAGTCAGTTTATTCCGATGGTTTGGAACATGGCCTTTGAATGGGATATTTATCTTTTTGAATATTTTGATTTTAAACAGCAAAATACTTTTTTTTAAGTTTTTTTCATGTAGCTCCATTCGTTCCTGAGATATTAACACAAAAATTAAGTATTTATTCTTGAAAATCTCGAAAAATAGAAAATCCCCGGTCAGATCTGCACAAAAATTTGGGTTTTAAAAATTGGAAGTTAAATAAACTTCCCCTTTTCTCGGTCACTTGGCGCGGAATGTCCCATATACCGTATATTCAATCCATTATTCTATAAAAGAAACCTGTCTTCATCTATTATGTTGATAGCTTTATTTTTATCTATAGATGCAATCAATTTTAGACCTGGAAATGACAGACGATAGGTCTTCTGTAAATCATGAGACCCATTTCAAGAATGCCTGCTCACACACGTACAATCTGAGGTCACCTTTATGTACAATAAGCCCCATATGAATAGATCAAGTGGATAGCTGTAATGTATTCACACTTCCAAAGTTAAAAATTGATATCCTTGACCATGAAGCGTATTAAGTATAAGACTAATTTAAAGTTTATGGCGATAAACTGCAATCGTCAGCACAAAACGAATCTGAACCGTTGAAATGTTTCTTCCTTCGCTCGACATGGGAAATATTTCCCCAACCGGTACAATCTTGAAACATGCCGTTCATCGCCGCACTGATTTTCGCTCTGTTTGTGGCATGAACTTTGTTTACTCGATGCGAACCGCTCACTTTTTTCTCTGTATGCAATGGATTTTTCTTATTGGAAATATTTCCAACGACTTCTAATGAGCTTACTGTTTCTTCAGGAAACTATAGATGTATAAACAGGAATATGATTTTGGAGAATGCTTCCGTTTATTAACGTCTCTTTAAACTGTTCCCCTGGTAGAGGAGAATTAAGTTTTGGAGGGTGCAGTTTCCGCCGTGGTAGAAGAATATTATCACAGAATTATGCTCTACTTACCAAATGCAAGAGTGAACCTCAACTTATTGCCTGGATAGAACGAGTCCTGTGTGTAGTGGTGTTATCATCTGCTCTGTTTTGATTCCAATCATTCGTTGTAGCGCCGAGAGAGCGAAAAGCGCAGCTGGTGAATTCTCACTTTGTCCGCGATTTATGGAGCACAGCTCACTTCTCACAGATTTCGCCTTCTCACACGCACGAGAACCAACCATAAACTCTTCGCTGGAGCTGATGTGAGCTGCATCGATTGCTGTCTTGCTGCCCTTCGTTTAGTTCGCCGCGTGCTTTCGGCCGAGTGACAGTGTCGTGAATTTACGGGAGTCTATACGGAAACGCGCGTTCGGTTGACTAGTGCATATAGAGACTGTGTTAAAGCCACACGCAAGGTGAGAGAAGTGGTGCAGTTGCGTGTGAGGAGTGGTGAGGCCCACTAATACACCAGGCCCTCCAAGGTATTTTATTATTCCTGTTTCTTCGTCGTCGTCATCGTTCGTCGCGTGTCGCAATCCTTACCGTCGTCGTAGGTACGGCCGTGCTGTGCTATCTTTCGTGTGTGGGTATGAGCAGAGGCCTGCCGCTGCAGCAATCCCGCGACTGGCGTTTTGTTGCAGCACCAGCAAAAATGGAGTTGTGGTGCATTCCGCCGTCGAGCCGCCGTGCTTAGCCTAAATATGTCCGACGGGATCGCAAAGCCTCTGCCTTCACCGTTGTGGGTTGCGAGGAGTTAAAGAGAATGAAAATAATTCAATAATTGATTAAATCATAAATGAATTCCGGGTTCGATCGGAAATTCAGTTTCGGAGCAAACGCGCGCGAGTGTTTGGCCGAAGGCCACAGTTGCCGCCCCCATCGTTGATACGGTCATTTGGGGAATTAGAATAAATCGAATTGGAAGAGAAGTGTGAATTTGTGCAACATTGGCAGGTCGGTTGGCCGGCTTCGTCGGAAGCGAAGAGATCTACATTATTTCGGAATCCAAGTCGGAAGAAGTGAACTGTGCGTGCGTGTATCGTTATGTTGTTATTGTTATTATGATTGCTTGTATCACGATGATGCCGGTCGATTGGTTGCCGCTGAAGTGGTGGAGTTTATTATTTTCGATGTTCTACTTTGTTGCTTTGCTGTTTTGGATAATGGTGTACCGTGCTCACCTAGAGCGCTAGAAGAGCTGTGTGGTATTTTGGTGGATGGATTTACAAACACTGTTGAACAAACAGTGTGGGGGAACGGGTGAAAGTGGTTGAAGAAAGGAACGAAAAAAATGCTCCTTGAGAAACAACTTTGGAAGCAATCTAACTTGCGTTAAGGAGCTGCTTGACGTTGGAAAAGAGATGTACATATCCGTCTTTGTGAACCAGAGCTACATTTCCCAGACGACGCGCTTTCTAATTTTGGATCACAACAAAATTGCTGATGATAAATTCACCCATGTATGAAACTTCAAGAGAAGTTATTACGGAAGAATTATGTGATTATCTTGTGCAGAGTAAAGTTGGTTTTCTGGCTGAAAAATCTCAAGTGAAGGCAGCTCTCATATAGAAGGTTAAGCGGGATGAATCAGTTGACTTTTGAGTAGGTCAACAAATTAACGCAGATTGGCTGATAATGACATCAGAATTGGTTTTTGCAATCAGGATCAGGAAGAAGTGAACTCATAGGAATAATTCTGGCGATACCAAGCATTTTTGATGACATCGATAAAAACATGAAAAGATAGACTTTAAGATAGATTGGTTGGTTATATTAGGTATTCTAAGTACATGGACTTAGATGCAATAATTATTATGACTATTTTGCATTACATATTGCGAAATGTGTTGTATTAAAAAAATCAAAAGAAAACCATCTGTGACCACCATTTAAAACGAAAACAAATCTCAATATATCGTAGATTCTATTAATTTTGCAATCGAGTTAAACATAAATATGGATATAAAAACGGTATACAATGTTGGTGATCTGAAGAAAAATGTATGAATACGTTCCAACACCGATTAAACCTTTTTTTTTTGGAAAGTCGAATGGATATCCAATAAATTAAATAAATGCATAGGTATATGGAAAACAATCCATTACTCAAGATTTCTATTCATTCTATATTTTCAAGCGAGTGAAGTCTGTTTTACTTGAAATGAGGACTTGCTTCCAAGAATTTAAGCAACGTCTGAAGTAAAACCTTTTTTTTCCGGAAGTCGCATAAATCGCGTTTCATAATTGTGGTTAATTAATGTATTCGGTGATCATAATTTCAGTCATTTTTAAGATAGGTTGGATGGCGGTGCTTTTCTACAAATTTTGGCCCTTTATCTTATTTGGGAAGGTATCGAAATGTTCCTGCATCTACAGCAGGGTAGTTAATGACATTAACGCAGAGTTGCTTACGATGTAAACGGCGTCACTCCTGATCTAGATTAATGAAAAGTATGGTGACCATAAGTTTGCACTTGTCAAAAATATATTTATTATGATAAGAAACGTTCAGTATTTGCATTTATGCAAATATTTTTCTGAAGAAAGTGAATGGTCTGCATTTACGCGCTATTTATTACACTCATATGTGATGCTTCTATTAACTTGTGCCAAAGTAAAACATGAAATGTCGATTTCGTGAGGACTAAGCCTCATCCTAACAAACCAACAGTAGCATCTGTTAGAAGATGTTTGCTCTATCAGAAAGTGTAGTTAGTTTGTGTGAGTGTGTTGTAATTCGTGAGATATCGACGTTTTAAGCAATTTTTGTCACACATTGGCCTCTTCAAATGTTCGTCCAAATTTGAGAGGCTTTTATATTTGATTATACGGTCGATGAAAGTAGCTCAGCAGCTGAGTCAAATACAACATAAAATTGCAATAACCAAGGCAGTGAGTGAGTAAAATTTTCCTCACTTTCTGAATATAATGCTTGAATATGAGGATAATAGACCAAAATTTTATTCCGTCTAGAAGTGTACTAGTAAACTGAGTGAAATATCTCTTGATTTTCCTCATATTCATGAAATTTTACCTGGAAAATCGAGGAGACTTTTACATCTCAATTATGAGTCAAATTCGACTCTCATTGACAGTGTAGAAATTGATTCAGCTTCTTAAGAAAATACATCAGCAATTCTGTCAGGCAGCCGTTTTTAAGTCTTGTACGGCCAGTGAAATCGATCCAAATTTGAGTTCAGTTTACTCATATCGCAAAAAGTACAGGAACTCAGCGATGAGTAAGTTTGCATCATGTTTTCCTGTGGAAAACCTCAAAAATCTACCGAAAAATGTGGAAGATTGATGAAAATTCTACTAAGTCCAGAAGAAGTACCTATAGACTGAGTGAATCCAATCTTGGATTTTCTCATATTCGGGAATTTATTCCTGGAAAAACTATGGAAAAATTTACTTGCTGCACTTTTTGCGATTTACGAGTAAACTGAACTTATGTTTGTATTTGGTTTGCTGTCAATGGCCGTGTGACAGAATATTCCCTTAAACGGTGTACCCCTAGAAGTCATCACAATTTTTAAGAGGTTTGTAATAAAACGTATTATTTTCAATTGCAAAAAGCGTTTCCTTTTCCGGGGTTTTCTTAATGATGTTTACTGTCAAAACATTGGATATTTTTGTCGTTTACCATGAAATCACAATGAAATTCATGGTTCACAACAATGAAAATCATGGTATTTCAGAAATTTATAGCAAAAAAGTCATTGGCAATTGTTTTAGCATTGTATCGTTAAAAATAGAGATTTATGCTTCCTCCGGTACAACAATTTAACAATAAATTAAATGTACTCGAAATTCAATAGTGAAAATCATGGTGAATTCGTTTTTTTATTATAAGTGTTTTTTTTGGAAAACCGCTCTAAAATATTGTAGATTGTAGACCGCTGCGTGCTGAGTTTCTCTCACGAACACATCTGATTTTTTTTTACAGAGAGATATTTTTTATTATATACTTAATAAAACTCAATGTTAAGCCCATTTTGAGTTTAATATAATAATTATATTTCAGAATCTGTGAACTTTGTGCATTTTGATAAAGATAATGGCATATTCATTTTCATTATGAGCATGTTCACGAAGAAAAAGGCCTTACCTAACCTAGTCAGTTAAGGCGTGATATTAACAAGCCGGGAAGAGAGGGTTAGATTCCCGGTCCGGTCTAGAAATACTTGCCATTTGCCAATCTATTTGACTTTCTGGGACATTGAGTTTGTGCATTCCAAATTCACGTTTCGGTTTCATCCATTATCAAAATTAATGGAATTCATCTGAATTTCACATAACATTTATGCGATTCCATTAAATTTATGTGATTTTGCAAATGAATTTCATCGGCCTCATAATATTCATGTGATTTTGTGGTGCGATTTGCTGCTATGTTATCACAGGAAAGCTATGTGAAATTCACATGGATTTCATCCGTTAGATATGTGATAAATTTTTTAAGTGTATAAGGCTTTCATTGTAAAAGTGTATTGGAGGCGAACCAGCCTAAGGCTGAAAGCCTCCTAAATAAAGCTAAATTAATTGTAAAAGTGCTTCAAGAACACTAAGTTGAGACAGACAGTTCGAAAACTACCGGGTTTCAAGGCATTGTATGCCTTTAAGATGATTATCGATTAATAAAAAAACACGTACCAGCAGCAGCTGCGGCAAGCTGTTCAATTTTGATCCTTGGGCAATTTGTGTCTTGATAATACCTACCTGCACTCATCCACGTAAACAACTTTCAAACAAGAATCACATCCAATAAGCCATTTAATCCATCCACCAAACATCGAACGGCAAAAAAAAAACAGGGCTCACTTCCAGCGGCAACAAGCAAAAATGCGTCTTCAGAGCATCGACAATGAGCGAAATATGATATATACGGTCGTATGTGTGATGTTGTACGCACAGCTCCTTTCGTAATGTGTTTGTGAGATCGCTCCATGTGAGAAAGAACGGCGAGCAACAAAAGAAAACAGAAAAACTTGATGCCAGTCGACGACGACGACGACGGCAGCCAAAGTCGCGTCATGCATTGCGAGTGATCTGCCTTGAATCATGTCAGAGAACCCGTATCGTGGCGTTCTTCGACAAATATAGGCAGACCCAGATCAACGGGAGGGAATGCAATGGGTGTTCTTTACCTTGCTTTGCTTTCAGGAGCAGCTATCCACTTCTATGAGATTTAATCGATGTGAAAAGTGAATAGAAAGAGCCTATGAAATTCATGAGTGTACCGTTCAATTAAATTCCACCATACACACGAATGCACAAACATGTGTAGAAAAAGCATGTGTTTGAAATTATTCTGCAAAAGAAATTAAATAAATATCGAAGTGTATACTCAGTCGGTGCTGATCAGGAAAAAGGAAGAGCATGGAAAATAAATGTGATTAAATTGATTGAAATTTCGATTGGAATTAATTCAAGCGAGCCACTTCGGGAATCGTGTTTGGGTCGGTGCTTGTTTTCTTTTGGTCGAGGGGTGGTTCTGTGTATTTGAATCGAATAACAGCAGCAACAGCCATTCATACAGCTTCGATTGTGTTTAGTGTGAGCGGCCGTTAAGACCTTCACCGCTCGACGTGTTTGGGGTTTGTTGTGAGTGTGAAATCATCGTAAAGAGGTAAAGTGAACTTGTTGAGGCATGCTTTGCACAAACCGTGTGAAGAGCAGTGAAAATCATTAATCTACCACTACTACCAGAAGAATTAAAGTTCAAAGAAAGGAGCAACGTTTCACTAGTATTGTGCAGAGAATACCAAGTTTAATCAAAGAAGAGCAGCTAGAAGGGATAACCTGCTGCACCGACATCAATCAGCTGTCACGAGCAAAACAACCCGGATTCATCAAGTAGGATTAGCTGGCACGCACACATAGACGCTCCAACAACCACAGCAAATTTCTCGTGTGCGTGTTCGACTACCTCAATATCCTGTGCTGTATTTTGAAGGTTAGTCACCGTCTTTTGCTGTGTATTCAAGCTCTGCTTTTCCAGCGTCCACATTGAGGGTTATCTACCATACCGTGTCCCCAATAATACAAGTCGTTCATTTCCCTGAATTCATCGTAACGAAAAACCCTTCCTTGACACATCAAGGAGTGGTACAGCAATTCACACTAAAAACACCGAACTTCCACTCCACAAAAAGAAAAGCTTACCGCCTTCAATCAACTGACCAAACTTATCTCTTCTGTGAAATCATCTAAGCGCAGTCCGGCCTAAAAGTTGGCACTTTGTTGTCGCTCGGTTCACCGTCCATCATTCTACATATAAGCAACAGCACAGACGACAATCAATCACCGAAAAGACTGAACTTCACGTTGCTGTTTTCTTTGGTGATTGTTGTCCGCTACACCAAAATTGTCACATCATGCCTTTTGTATTTTTGGCCGATTTTTATTTGGCTGCTGGAATGGAACATGGGTGAATGACTGTTTCCTGCTGTGTTTCCGAAAGGGAAATGGGTGTGAACAACTAATGATTGGCACGTAAGAGGAAAAACACGGCACAAATGGGCATAAAAGTTTAACCGTTTGTTCCATTGACCGTGGAAATGGGGACAGCTGTGCGAAATTTTGCATTGCCGATTTCGGAAGGAATGTACGATAGGCGAGTCATTTTGGCGTATCGCCATGGTTCCATATGTGTGATCAATGGTTCGATTATTGTTAGGGAGAGATGCGAAACTGAAATTAGGAGGGGAGAGCCATATTATGGAAAAGTAATTCCAAAGTGAATCCATTGTCTGCTTAGAATGTGTTTCGTTCATGACACAGGATCATTTGCAGAAGACTACCACGACTTATGAGGCATTTAATGAGAGACAGGACGGTTTCAGCGGCTTATGATATCGCTCAAGTTTCAGTAACAGAATATTCTTTTTGCCAGTGGTGGCGAAGGGAATACCCCTCACCATCACTCTCCAACGGGGGAGTTCGGTAAAGAGAGATGATCAAACCGATTTGTACCTTCATTCATAAAAGTTTTCCTTGCTCGCTCTCTACTCTCTATATATACAATTTCATACTGCCGTACTCTAACGGAACTAACTCTATACTTTAGCATCTTCAACTATGTAAATCGTTGACTTCAAGCAGAAGTAATACTAAAAAAAAAATAGTCAAAGTAACATAGTGTCAAAAGAAATTGCAATTCACAAAATCGTGAAGTTAACGGCGCCGGTGGTGTAGTGGTAAGCGTGATTACCTCTCACCCCAGCAGGCCTGGGTTCAATCCCAGTCGGCGCCGCCGGGATGTTCTCTGGGACATCTCTGATCACGCCTTCCTTCGGATGGGAAGTAAAGTCGTTGGGTCGATAAGTAGGGTCCAGGTGTGGGAGCTGCCTTCCTGGCACGTCGGTAGCATTGGTGCTCAGCACGGAAAACAAGATCGACGGAAAAAACAAACCAAAGGAAAAAAAAAAAGAAATCGTGAGGAAATTTTTACTGTTTCTGAATTATCGTTGAAAATTCGTTGGAGGTCTTCACAGGTTCTTTTATTTTAGATTTTGCAATAATTCCATTTGAATTATCGTACAATTTACTCAGAGTACTTATCAAAGTTTCCCAAGAATTCTCTTCAGTATTTCCTCGAATATTCTCCAAACTTAAGAGAATTTTTGTGATTTACAATACAATTATTTCCCGATTCATTCTCACAAGAATTTCTGCATAATTCTCTTCGAAATTCAGGGTGTCAACTATCTGAAAAAGTAATAGGTTCTATCCAAGACACGATCGTAGATTAGACGTAGATTACGATATTACGATTATCAGTATTCAGCGACTGCGTTAGGGATAGCACTTTTTCTCATCACGGAAAGACCTAGTTTTCTGAAAACAAAATTACGCATTTTTGTGCACAAAACGCACGAAATTTTTGGTTTATTCAAAGATAATAAAAAATGCGAAAATTGATTTCAGGAATTTCTTGACAGAGTTATATGTGGTCAAAACCTGACCACTTTTCGAAATGCGGTCGATTTTGGTTTTTTGAAATTGCACCAATATGTTGCTGAAAGACGTAATCCTACGTCAAAAACCTGGAAAATCAGGGAATATCAGGGAATTTAATCTCAGGGAAATAAACTCAGGGAAATATTTCTTTATAACAGAAACTCATACATATGTATGACTGACTTTGCTAGTTTCAAACAACCTGATTATGCGGTGTAACTTGACGATAGTTTGTCATTTTAAATTTTAAATAGAGTTGCGAACTTGCGATTGTTTAATGCTTGATGCATTGTTCAAAGTTGAGCAAAAGCTACTCAACTAAAAGGGTATTTCGATGAATTTGAGCCTATTGTAAATTCAGCCACCGCTGGGTGTTGTCACATTGCTGAGATGAACTAAGATAAAAATCAATTATAGTAGACGCTAGACGTTGTAAGTTGTTGCAATATTTAAGCTGCTAATGGGTATGTGCATCTCTTAATATGTAACTACTATGCGTCTAACAAAATTTAACCTTCGAATAGCTTGGTGCGTTTGCTCGATCTAGCTGTGTTCAACAAAAATCCATCCCTTGAGCACCTTTGAGTGAATGCAAGAATGGTAAAGAGTTAAGCTGAGTTTAGACAAGGTTGATCAAGTCAGTTCAATTCAATTGGCTTGAACATTGAGTCTGGATGAACTTTTTTCAATTCGAGTGAGTTGATCAAGTCATTTGAATGGCATGGTTTACACGTTCAAACAAATTCAAAATGTGTTCTTAACAGCTTGATTAACTCAGGGAACTAACTAAATACAAATTTAGGATAATGGTCTTGTTTGGAAGGAATTTTGTTTGATTGCTTGGAGTAACACTTTTATGATTGAATAATGATTCAAATATAGGTAGACAAGCATTGTCTTGAGAGCATAGAGTGGTTTTATTGAGTATACTAGGACTTCATAAGAAACCTGGTTAGCTCGTAAAATTAGCTTCTCAGTAAATTTTTAGTATTGTAATGTTGCTGCTATTCCGATTTAGATGGTACTAACTTACAGAATTTTGGAGGTGAAAGCACAGTTTTTACGATTTTCCACTGGAAGAATCCGCAGGTGAATTAGTTTTTGGTTAAGCGTATTATCCGGAATAATTTTCTTGCGTAGTTGAGTTTTAAAATGTGCTTAAGATAAAATAAATATAATGTGGTTATATGTAAAATACAGAGTGATCAGTGAAGCAGGAAAACCGAAAAAAAAACTGGCAATTAGAAGTCACGATGATCAAAACTGAAAGATGACGGATTTGGAAACATATTCCTTGTCATCCCTTCGAAAACAATACGATTTCAAGACGCTTGGACTGAACTAAAATTTCAGATACCAAACCAATTTTTTTTGGTTCTTTATTAAGGAGATTTTTAGCCTATGGCTAGTTCATCTCCGTAATCATCTGGTGATACATTTACACAGCAATTCTGTATTCCCGAAACCCAACGACTACAGTCACTAGCGGCACAAGCATGTCAGGCCCTTTTAACAGCTGTGAATTCAGGGAGATACCTTGCACCGTTGCCGCAGCATCCTACACGAGTCGTACCTTACCTGGTTTTTTGGGGTTCAGTACCACGTTTAGTTGAAGTTACCATACCTTATCGGGTTCCGTTCCGACAAGCTCCTCCGGAGTAACAAAGTGCGCATACCCCTTCTCCTGATACTCATCGATCTGCTTGCAAACGTTCACGTGAAGCTCCGGATTCTTCTCTAGCTTCTTCTCCAACTGCTTCAGCCTCCGGGAACCTTGGATCGTCCGTCTTCCACAGTAGCCCGGTCTCGAAGCGGTCACCAATTCGTCTCGTGGTCTTCTCGAGAATCTTGCGAGCTCTCTCATCCTCAGCAGACTCCTGCGGTACGCCAACGACCGATTCTTCCAGTGCGTAGTGTGCCTTCAGCAGCTTATGAAGGTCTTCGTTTGTCACTTCCTGGTGGATTCCAAGATATTCGCTGCTCGCTTCGACAGCGTTCGCTTGCTTCGGTCCGTAGACCGTCCATCCGAGCTTGCACCGCACGACTATCGGATCAACCACTGCACCGAGCTTTGCTTCAATCGGAGCGAACGAGTGGATGTTGTTCAACCCGATGAGTATTTCCGGCAGTCCGTCATACGAGGAGATGGGCAATCCTCGCATATGTTTATACTGCCGCAAAAGCTCCTTTGCATCCAAAGCTTGTGTAGGCAACATTAGCTTTTCGACAGTGTGGACCGTCTTCAGAAGAAGTTTTTCATACGCATCAACAGCCGAGACCCACACATTTATCCCTTTTGACTCCTTCTCTACTTTAGCAATGTCGGCCGTCCACTTTATGGTGAGTTTCTCGTGGACTCCGACTGCTTCCAAGCGATCCGCCATGTTCCTTTCCACCAGAGTCACCGATGCACCTTCATCCAGGAAAGCCAACACAGTGAAAGATTTTTCACCGCAGTGAAGACTAATCGGTATCATTCGGAACAAAGTCATGACGTTGTTTGTGCGAATGTGCACTGTCGTACCAATTGCACCGTCGATCGGATGCAGAAGATAATTGTGAGGTTGTCTGCATTCTCCAACGTTGCATCGCAGCATGAACTTAAACTGCGCCGAACCGTGTTCGTTCAGACACACGTGGCACAGCTTCCAGCGATCCACAACCTTCATCAGGTTCTTGAAATCCTGAAAATACCGCAACCGATGGTCTGTACGCTGACACGTCCTGCACGGCTTTAGATTCCTTCGTTCTCCAACGCACGACTGACGATTCTCAGCTTCGCTGTTGTTAAACACCGCACCCTTCTCCGCTTTTCCCGAAAGGTTGTCGCTGCTGAACTTTCCCGTTGACTTGTAGTCCATGCTGACATTCGCTTCGCAGGCCTCCGAGACTATTTCGGAGAGGAAATCGGTGAAGGTCCTTAGGGTTACCTTCTTTTTCCCTCGCTTGAAGCGCACCCACTCGCGCTTTTCGTTATCTGGGAGCTTTTCAACC